GGGTAGATAGGGCCAGATCCTGACTTCAGTGGGTGGGGTGGGGGGGTTCTCAGTATTAGACACCACTGTTAACAGGCACCCACTCCCAGAGCACCATGGCCATAAGGGTCCATAATTGCTGTGATGAATGAGAGAAATCCCCCTTCAGATACTTAACCGCCTGGTCCATTGGGTGCCACGACGACCCTGGCCAGTGTTCACCCAGCAAAGGGAACAGAAGGAAACAGGCACTAAAACCGGATGCCAAACCTCCCCAATGGGTGTGTCTTTCTTCCCCAGGGTTGAACATCCAAGAGGCGAGCCATCTGTGGTCCCGGGACGGGCTCCAGGACACCGAGCGCCTGGCCTACAGCAATATGGCCGGGGCGGGGGGAGGTAAGGACTCTCCGCCAGTGCATTGCAGCAGCTCAGGTGTGGCGCTGTCTCCCCCTGCAGTGAATGTGTTATGGAGAGGGAGGGATAGCTCGGTGGTTTGAGCACTGGCCTGCTAAACCCAGGGTTATGAGTTCAATCCTTGAGGGGGCCATTTAGGGATCGGGGCAAAAATATGTTGGATGATTTAGTTGGTGTTGGCCCTGCTTTGAGCAGGGGGTTGGACTAGATGACCTCCTGAGGTCCTTTCCAACCCTGATATTCTATGATACTTATTTCCAGCTGACAGTGTTCGGCTGCAAGAGGCCGAGGACGCTGGGTTGGAGCCTTGCTAAGGGTGCAGGCTTGTGGGTGTTCCATGGATCCATGTCTATGTGGCATACAAGGGATCCCCTGGGAGGTTGAGTTAATGGAGGATTGTATCTCCAGGGATCCGGCTCCACTCACTCTCCCTGGCTGACAGCCTGTGTCTGAGAGGGGAGCCCCTGGGTCAGAGAGTTGGGAAGCTCACACCAGCTATCGCCGGACCAGATCCTCGTTGGAGTCCCTGCACCCTGTGGAAGCACAGGCTGGGTGTGGGGTTTGCCCAGCATCATGGCGAGTCAGGGAACAGAACCTGCCCCTGCGCTAGGCGTTGGGGTGAGGGACACCCAGCCCCTTTCTTTTGCTGAGTCACTGCACCATGACGCTCGTGGGAATGTCAGTGGGGTGTTTCCTCCAGTGGGTGAGCTGCAGGAGATATCGCTGCTGGGAGCAGTAGGGATCCTTTGTTGTCTGTGTGAGCTGGTTCCAGAGTGCGCAGACACATTCCCAGCATGTCATGGCACCTGCGGTGAATCCTGCTCCAGAAAGAGCTATTCCTCAGTGCCTGCAACCTCTTACTGGTGGGGGTTCCTTAGTCCATGGGACCCCAAAGTTTGGCTGCCCCAGGACTCTTATTCACCTTGTGAGATACTAGAGGGATTTGGAGCCTGGTTCTGGGCAACTGACAAGGGC